TGTGCAGTTTTCACTAAAGATGAAACGGTGTTTTTGATATAGCGCAATTGTTATTTCATTATCTCCGAAATACACACGCTCACAATGGAGAATAAGTTACAGAGTCTATAAGCTACTTTCGGAATTAAATTCAGCTGTCGCTCGTCACTCCGACAATCATAAAAATAAATTTTATGTTAGAAATTAAATGAACTTTAACTTAAGAGAGTTTTAAGTTGCGTCACATAAAAATAATATTAAAGTAACGACAATCAACAATTTATCGAGTATTTTACTTTATATTTTATTAATTCCATATACTAGGAAACTAATTTACATTTTGGTAAACGTTGATAACATTTCGAAAACCGTCTTCAAGACATCAAATGTGTCAATTAAACTAAACTACTTCAATCTCAATGTATAGTTCTCCGATTTGAGAATCGCTGCTGTTTTCTAGTTTTATTACATTGTTAAATTGAAAGTCACATTGTCTCAGTTCCTTAGCAGTAAACCTTGCGATATTTCATTATTTTTAAAATCAGCGCTTGACTACGATCCCAACTATATACATTGATGATTTAAATTGTAAGTTTTGGTTGTGGTGTTTTTTTCGCCCTCATTTTAAGAGGGCGAGTCTTCTGCGGTGTTTGTGTATGTGTGTAGGCTGTGTGTGCCGGGCGGCGCTGGGCGGCGCTGGGCGGCGCTGGGCGACGTCGGGGTGTTAGTTGTCGGCGACATGTCAACGGAAAATAAAGTACTCTCCTTTATAAATTCACCGTTTATTATAAAAAAATATATCATTGCTACAAAAGTTTGCGTCCTTTTTAGAGCACGGCTCGGCGCCGGCGACCATTCCCGATCCTATGTCTTAACTAAATTAAATTTCAATGTTTAACAAATTGAAGTATTCAACAGTAAGGCCACAATACAAAACGTTTAAATAATAATACAATGAACTAAAAATATTCTAAACAAATCTATAGGAATAAAATAAAAACAATAGAATGAATGTTAAGATTGAGCCGCCGCTGCGCCCTCGGCCGCGGCC